CAGTGCTGCCATAACCATACATGTGCATGTGTCTTTATAATAGAGTGATTTATAATCACTTGGGTATATACCCAGAAATGGGATTGCTGGGTCAAATGGTATTTCTAGTTCTAGATCCTTGAGGAATCTCCACACTGTCTTCCATAATGGTTGAACTAATTTACACTCCCACCAACGGTGTAAAGCATTCCTGTTTCTCCATATCCTGTTCAGCATCTGTTGTCTCCTGATTTTTTAATGATTGCCATTCTAACTGGTGTGAGATGGTATCTCAATGTGCGTTTGATTTGCATTTCTCTAATGACCAATAATGATGAGCTTTTTTTATATGTTTGTTGGCTGCATAAATGTCTTCTTTTGAAAAATGTATGTTCATATCCTTCACCCACTTTTTGATGGAGTTTTTATTTTCTTGTAAATTTGTTTAAGTTCTTTGTAGATTATAGATATTAGCCCTTTGTCACACGAGTAGACTGCAAATTTTTTTTCTCTTTCTGTTGGTTGCTGGTTCACTCTAATGATAGTTTCTTTTGCTATGCAGAAGCCCTTAAGTTTAATTAGATCCCACTTGTCTATTTTGGCTTTTGTTGTCATTGCTTTTGGTGTTTTAGTCAGGAAGTCGTTGCCTATGCCTATGTCCTGAATGGTTTTGCCTAGGTTTTATTCCAGGGTTTTTATGGTGTTAAATCTTATGTTTAAATCTGGGGTTAATTTTTGTATAAGGAAGGGATCCAGTTTCAGCTTTTTGCATATGGCTAGCCAGTTTTCCTAACACCAATTATTAAATAGGAAATCCTTTCCCCGTTGCTTGTTTTTGTCAGGTTTGTCAAAGATCAGATGGTTGTAGATGCATGGTGTTACTTCTGAGGTCTCTGTTCCATTGGTCTATATCTCTGTTTTGGTACCAGTACCATACTGTTTTGATTACTGTAGCCTTGTAGTATAGCTTGAAGTCAGGTAGTGTGGTGCCTCCAAGTTGTTTTTTGTTTTTGTTTTTTGCTTAGGATTATCTTGGCTATACAGGCTCTTTTTTGGTTCCACATGAAGTTTAAGGTATTTTTTTCTAACGCTGTGAAGAAAGTCCATGGTAGCTTGGTGGGGATAGCATTGAATCTATAAATTACTTTGGGCAGTATAGCTATTCTTCTTAACCATGAGCATGGAATGGTTTTTCATCTGTCTGTGTCCTCTCTTATTTTCTTGAGCTGTGGTTTGTAGTTCTCCTTGAAGAAGTCCTTCACATCCCTTGTTAGTTGTATTCTGAGGCATTTTATTCTCTTTGTAGCAATTGTGAATGGGAGTTCACTCATGTTTGGCTCTCTGTTTGTCTATTGTTGGTGTATAGAAATGCTTGTGAATTTTGCACATTGATTTCATATCCTGAGACTTTGCTGAAGTTGCTTATCAGCTTAAGGAGATTTGGGGCTGAGACGATGGGGTCTTCTAAATATACTGTCATGTCATCTGCAAATAGAGACAATTTGACTTCCTCTTTTCCTAATTGAATACACTTTATGTCTTCTTCTTGACTGATGGCCCTGGTCAGAACTTCCAATACTATGCTGAATAGGAATGGTGAGAGAGGGCACCCTTGTCTTGTGCCAGTTTTCAAAGGGAATGTTTCTAGTTTTTGCCCATTCAGTATGACATTGGCTGTGGGTTTGTCATAAACAGTTCTTATTATTTTGAGATATGTTGTGTTTTGTTTTGTTTTGAGTCGGAGTCTTGCTCTGTCTCCCAGGAGTGGAGTGCAGAGGTGTGACCTCAGCTCACTGCAACTTCTGTCTCCCAGGTTCGAGTGATTTTCCTGCCTCAGTCTCCCGAGTAGCTGCGACTAGAGGCATGTGCCACCATGCCCAACTAATTTTTGTACTTTTAGTAGAGATGGGATTTCACTGTGTTGGCCAGGCTAGTGTCAAACTCCTGTCCTCAGGTGATCTGCCCTCCTAAACCTCCCAAAGTGCTGGGATTACAGATGTAACTCACAGTGCCCAGCCTTGTTTAGAGGTTGTATTCATAAAATATCTTCCCAGACCAATGTCCTCAGGCATTTTCTCTGTTTTCTTCAAGTAATTTTATGGCTTCAAGTCTTATGCTTGGATCTTTTATCTGTTTTGAGTTGATTTTTGTATAGGGTGAGAAGTGGGAGTTTAGTTTCATTCTTCTACACATGAATTTCAATTTTCCCAGTACCATTTATTAAAGAGATTTTTTTTCCAATGAATGTTCTTGCCTTTGTCAAAAATCATTTAGCTGTGTATGTGTGAATTAACTTCTGGGTCCTCTATTCTGTTCCATTGGTCTATGTGTCTGTTTTTATGCCAACACTTATGCTATTTTAGTTACTACAGCTTTGTAGTATATTTTGAGGTCTGGTAGTGTGATACTTCCAGCTTTGTTCTTTTTGCTCAGGATTACTTTGGCTATTCCTGGTCTTTTGCAGCTTCATACAAATTTTAGAAAAATGCCATTGATATTTGTATAGGGATTGTATTGAATCTGTAGATTACTTCGGATGGTATTATTTTTACAATATTAATTCATCTGGTCCGTGAGCATGGGATGTCTTCCCATTTGTTTGTATCCTCTTCAATTTCTTTCATCAGTGTTATTCAGTTTTCCTTATAGAAGTCTTTCACATCCTTGATTAAATGTATTCCTAGGTATTTCTGCTACTGATTTTTATATTACTTTTGTATCCTACAACTTTACTGAATTTATTAGTTCTAAGATTTTTTGGTAGAGTCTAGGTTTTTCTTTATATGAGATCATGTAATCTTCAAACAAAGACAATTGGACTTCTTCTTCCCTTTCATTTGGATACCCTTTATTTCTTAAATTACTGACTTTTGAAATAAAAAGCCAGGGATCAGGCATAAGGGAAGATGATCTAGAAGAATACATGATTAGCTCAAGCCTGTTTTTTAGTGAGGCTCATTTTTATCATCTCTAAAATGGGAAGGGTTACCATACATAGCTGTTAGGAGTAAGTGATTAAATACATATAAAACCGTTAGTGCTTAATACGTATTAGCCATTAATGTTGGGTTGAACAAAATGAAACTCTCATTTTGAAAGTCAAAAAGTCAAATATTGAAATTTCACAATTCAATCTCAGATCTGCCAGTGCATAAATCTGTGGCAGTTTCCTGTTTCCCAAATTCAGTCTCACCTGTAGTAAATCCATCTGCTCTACTTTGGATGATAAAAACACATGCCACAAGTCATCTGAGAATATAGATTGACTTAAAGAGGTAATTCTTGAAATAAAATTTCAAACTTCTGTTTGACTTTCCTCATAACCTCTGAAATCCTTTCAATTGCAGAAGTGGAATGGTCTTGTTTATTTTCATTGCAAAATGACAAAAATACTCTGGTAAATTTTTTTTGAAATATGTGCTTTGCTTAAACAGAGTTGTATAGTGAAGATTATCATTAGTATCAGCACCCTTGGAGAGGATTCATATATACTATCTCTGGGAGGAAAAGAAAAAGCCTACTCTACCAACCAATCTCTGGGACTTAGCTAAATAATTATGGAACTAGAATTCCCGTCCTTATTCACCCACTTACCATCTGCTTCCTTGAGGCTATTTTCTAAGTAATTGAATCAAGAGATGAGAAGCATGAACGTAACATAAAAGATCCAGCTGACTTGAAAGAGTATGCATTCCAATATTACTATATTTAAGAGCAAAAATAAACTTGTATACTGGTAGTATTTCTGTAAACCAGAATATTTTGATGGGTTCATTACTGCAAATCCTTTGTGTAATAAAACATTGGAGTTTGAGGTTCTGTTCAGAACTTCTGTTCAGATCATACAATTTTCAAAATATAAATTGGGTAGCTAATCCAAATCCTGTCTGTGTCTTCAAATGAATGCAGCAGTTAGAGTTCTAGCACATATGGCCAACAACTTAGATGTGTGTTTAAGATACTATAGAAAAGACCTGGTTGGGCAGGCGCTTTGTTGGATTTTAAGAGAATGAGATTGTGAAGAATTTGCACATGCATTAAAAGTAAATGTTAGAGTACGTATATAACACTTAACAGGTATGTGGCTTGTAAACAGAAATAAAAGCTAGATATTACTCTGCAGTATTTATAATGAGCAAATATTTTGGAAAGATCAAAATATTAATCTTTCCTATTGATCCATCTTTTGAAGTTTTGATATTCTTATCCTCCTTATTAGAATATGTCTTTATTAAAGACTTCTGAAAAGTCTTTAAAAATTTTTCCTTTTTCTTTAAAATAAAGGCAGCACCTTCTTTATAGGTACTACGTGATTGGAAATTTACTTTCTGTTATTTGTGTTCAGTTATCCAGCCTACTTTTTTAAAAGCAAAGTTTAGAAATCCTATTATTAAAAATTGAATACTGAACCAGAAAGAATCTTGTTCATAAGATAAAGTTTATTTCTTCTGTCTGTAGTAATGCCAGGCAAACTAAAAAAAAATCTATTGCAAAGTAATACTAGGTATTCTCTGAAATGGGGATTTTAATTGTGACTATTTTACTAGTATGCCATATTATTTTGTTATAATCTTAAGATTTATATTGTTATATGTACATATGGATATTTGGATTACAATCTCTGTTGTACATTAAAAATAAAGATAAATATTTTAAAAGAGCAACAGCCTTTAAAAGCTTATATACAGTCAGATTTAATTTATGCAACTATCTGCTAGTAGTTAATTGCTACTTGTCTGATTTAACTAAGATAAAGTATGATGACTGGTAAAATGTACTTTTTATTTCCTTCTCCCTTAATAGTAAAAGATATCTACAAAACCCTAATATCAAAAACTCAAATATCACACTTAACAAAGAAGATTTTGATTCCTTTCTATTCTAGGTAAGAATAATAGAAGGAGGGCTGCAATGAAAACTACTATTCAATATTTTCCTCATGGTCAAAGACAACATGATAGCTCAAGGAAAACAGGTAAGAGATACAACAAATGGAAAGGGTATCTGTTAGGAGTAGTTTCAGCTATACATACAGAAAAATCTTAAATAATACCTTAAATAAGAGAGGAATTTCTTTCTCACTTTAAAAAAAAAAAGGGAATGAGAATCTAGAGGCAGGCAGACAGGACTAATGTGGCAGCAACACAGTGATCAAGGACCCATACTTCTATCTCGTGGCTCTACGAGTTTTGCATATGGCCTTATGTTCAAGGTAAACTCCCAGCCATTGCATTTTCATTCTAGTGAATTTTAGGAAGGAAGTAGTGAGGAAGAAAAGCTCACCTTTTCCCATGTGAGGAGGCTTTCCTAAAGTTCCACACAACACTTTGCTTAAATTTCATTTATCAGAATGAAGTCACAGGATCAAACCTGGTTGCAAAATTGCCTGGGAAATGTAGTCTTTCAGAGGAGTGGCAGAGTTCCCATACAAAAATTGGCATTTGGGTTAGATAACCAGGAGTCTCTAGAGAAAAAAAGTTATTACGTCTAGATATTATTATTGTCCACATAGAGAAGTGCAAAGGCACTCTGATACATACTTTTAAAACTAAAAAGAATATTCACCAAGATTGAGGTACATATACAGAGAGAACAAGATAAATATCATGTGTGAGCACATAGAAATGTGTGAAATATTTATGGCAGAATTTTTGGTAGTATAAAAATGGAACACATTAATGTCTATTATAGGATGAATGAATAAACAAATGATTGCATATTTATTTCATTTATAAAATCAAATGCTTGGCAATGTTAAAATTAGTAAAATTAATTTACAAGCAGTGACAGTTAAGTTTCAAAAACATTGTTCACTTGATATATATCATTTATTTCTTTAAAAAATCTGAAAAACAGTAAAATGTTAACATTAAATCTAGATGATGGGTGTTCCCAGGATTGTCTGTTTTTGTATCCTATTATATCCTTGGTAGCTTGCACATTATAGCCAAACACCATCTCCATTTTAAGATTGAGGAGAGCTGAAGAGATGAATAAATGTGCTCAAGGTCATGTGGTTACTAAGAACTGAGAACCAAATCCATGCCTGCCTGATTCTAGAGACTCTAAGCAACTTCAAGAAGTAGGATTTAGCCCTATTTTCAGCCACAAATCTTTCATCTATAACAAAGCCACAAACTGAAGCATCAATTTAAAGCTGTCCCTGATACTTGCTAAACAGAATACATCAAAAGGTAAGACTAGTTCAATATAATTTTAAAAGGGTTAAAAACTTTGTATGTCTATAAGAAATAGCAGGTATTTTGAAAACAGTTTGGCTAGAAATGTAAAAAGCTAGAGATTGTTCAGAGTAACAGTGTTTAATAGGAAAGTTCTTTTTTAAAAAAGTAGAGTTGAAAGAGACAGGATTAAACTGCAGATGTGAAGTTGCCTATGGGGCTCAATAAGCAGAGAACATCTAGGCTGAAGGCTAAATCAATGTTTTACCTTGCAAAGCAAACACTGATTTCTCTTGGATGAAAGCTCAGGAGTAGGCAGAAGAGGCAAATGAACATCCATGGAAATGTAGTAAATGCAGTTTGGATCCTGACTAGCTTCTGCAGATCATATACATACATTTATACTCCCCAGTAACTTTCCTGCTCCTGCCGAGAGGCTCTGAGATGTTCCACAGGCCTTTCTAAACCCGAGGCAAATCAGACTCGCAAGACTGTGAGAACCACTGGGGTAGGAACCATACCATTCATTTTTGTTTCTCTAATTCCTAATTCAGTGCCAGGCTTCTAACAAGTGCTAACAAAGATTGGATAAGTAAATAATTGCAATTCATTATTCTATCCTCGAAACTTACAGATAGCTTACTGTGCAGTGCAACCACGGATCATCCAGAGGCCTTACTGTCTATGAAGCTGGGCTGCTAAAAGTCATTCTTTACCGTTTTTCAGACCCCACAGCCAATATCAGATATTTGCTGAGTCCTCTGAAATCTTTCTTCTCCTATTGATACCCACTAACCATAACTTAATCAGAGATTTTCCCAAAATGCAATTGCAATAAGATTCTATATGATTTTTAAACATCTATTCTTTTCGTACTCATTGATCCCATACACTAATAGAATAAATTTTGTAATAAGATTTTCCAATGACATCCAGTGTCTATTACATAAGTTTCTTCTAATTTGGTCACACTGCAGGCACATTTGCATTCACTTAGTACAGTGTACTCTTCCATGAAGCTTTGAATTTGCACATGCTGCTACTGCTGTTCCATCCAACAAACTCCATCTAGCCTGTGAAACCCAAATTAACTCCTTCTGTCAAGCTTTCTCCTAATCCTTCAACACAGCCCTCTCTGTCTCAACTACTTCATATATACTGCTATTCTAATGGTGATTGCACTGTGAACTGACTAATTTTTAATAGTTAATCCACTGTGGGAGAGATGGACAAAAAAAAGTAAAGATGACCAGCTGGGGCCTATTTCTCCTTTAATCAAATATGGGCTGAAGGTAAATTATGATTTGACCAATAAATTATGGCAGAAGGGATTCTGTGCCAGTTTGGGCTCAACATTTAAGAGAACAGCAATTTCTGCTTTGGTCTCTCAGACTCCTAAACCACCCCAGAAGGCATCTGACTACCCTGAGAGCTCCATGCTCTAATGGAGTCCAAACTGATATGCTGAGAGACTGGGTATAGAAGAACTAAGGCCCTAGATTTGTGAACCAGCCATCTTTACTTATTTGAGACACCTCAGCTGAGGTTCCAAACAACAAACCATCCTGCTGAGCCACAGAATCATAAACATGTAAAATAGGCATTGTTTTATGCTACTAAATTTTTGAATCATTTGTTATGCATCAACAGATACTTAGAACAACCTTCAACATCCACGAGTATTTTCCTAGTTCTCCTCCGACAGCATTAGCTGTTACAACCTCACATTCCTTTCTCATTAAACGTTGAGGTCTCAAACTTCTAAGCCTTGTTTATCTGCACTGATTTCCTGGGGTAATTTCCTTCTGTATTAGGCTTTAAATATCATGCTTATGCTTACACTTTCCTAATGTATATCTGTAGCTATCTCAGAAAATCCAGACATACCCAATTACTTCTTTGGCACCTCTATTTTGTCTAATTATGTCTCTATTATGTCTAATAGGCAACTCAAATTAAGCACATTGCAAATGAACTCCTGATCATCTTCACCAAAGCCACAACTCTTGAAGTGTTCCCCATTTTTCAGTATATGTATTCAGAGTCAACAAGTTGCTCAGAAAAACATCATAGGCATTACCCTTGATTCCTCCTTTTCTTGCCGACCTCACTTGAATTTATCAACAAGCACTGTTGACTCTACCTTGAAAATATATTCCAACCTGAGTGATCTTACAAAACATAAGATAGAGTCAGTCCCTACAGTCAAATTGCCAATAGCTTTTCATCACGTTTACAGCAAAATCTCAAATGTTTACCATGATGCTATATAATCTGGCTCCCAGTGATTTCTCCAACCTCACAGACTTTCCATTCCCTTTCATCCTCATTCTGTTCCAGTCACATGTGTCTTCTTGCTAGGCTTAGGTATGCCAAACAGATTCCTGCCTCAAGGCTGCAACTCTTCTTTCTCTTGTGTTTTCCCTTGGCTTACACATAAAATTCATTTGGGTCTTAGTGAAAATGACATCCTCAGCAAGGTCCTTTGTGCAGGCCACATCTACAATAGAGACCCTTCTCTCACTGGTACTCTCTCAGAGAGTTGCTCTATTTTTCATCATTGTATTTTCCACCACCTGAAATTTATGTTACCAATGTATATATTTTTATTTAATTGCTTGTTTATTGCCAGCTCCAACTATTTGAGGCCAGGTACTGTATCTTATTTACTACTATATCCTCAGTCCCAGAAAAGTGCCTGAGGAAAATACATATTGCTTAACTGAATAAACACAAAGAAGGAAGAAATCTTTAAATTCCTGAACCCACAGCCTTGAATATTTATTGATACAAATAAGACAGTCAAGGAATATTTGTGAATGTGTTCAAATCAAGTCTGGAAGTCATTTCTAACAACTTATGTAGCTGTCTTCTCTAGAATAAAGTATTTAATCAGGCAGTACATGAAAGCAAATTTTTTCATGATTTCTGGGTAGCAGATTTCTGATTTTCATCTTAAGTGTCAAGCAAATCTTAATATTTGACGTTACTGTGGCTGATGTGCTTTTTGAGTAAAGGTCCCTTTGTTTTAGCAAGTATACCAAAAAAAGTGATATCTGACTATCATGATTACTTTTTTTGCTGAGTTATTTGGGAAGGCATATTAACCATGCATGGAAGTATTTTGAGGGAATAGTTTTTTACATTTTAAATGTAAATCAGTTATAATAGAACAATGGGGAAAATGTGTTCTCTTGAGACAGATTTTCAGGATGTCATCTAATTGGTAATGCAAGGTGAATTTATATTTCTGACTATACAGGGTGCTTGTGAAAAGATGTGTATTTTAAAAATCAGAAAATTAAAATTCTCAAACATTAACAGGTTCTCTACATGTGTCTTTTAAGCCATATGTATATTTTTAACTTGATTTCTAGACAAAGGAGCCTTTTTACTAGGAATTTCTTAATATTCTATAGACTTAGGGAAGTTCATGACAGCTCTATGCCATCAAAAACACATCAGCATGTTTGGATCATTACTCTCCACTGATAAAATTCTCTCTCTTAACCAACTGTACATCCCCTTTTGTATTTCAATTTTACTACCTGTTAAACACTCCAGAAATGACAGTGCTAATTTTTCACATACCTCTTTCATGTACTCTATTTTGCTACATAAATTATTCACTAAATTTTGCTTATGGTTCATTAATCCTCAATTGTATTTTTTTTTCCTTTTAGAGGTAAAAGATCTGCTGCATTTCTAAATAAAGCCCCTTTTTGGCTGTTCATTGTGCCCTTTCCTTGAGGTGTATAATTGGATTCTTTAGTCATATATGTTAAAAATTCACCACTAACAGAGATGGAAAAATGTAACATTTGTAAGTTTAAATGCAAGAATTCTATGCATTAAAATAAATTTACACAAGAAGATGTATTATCTTAGTTTGCCAGAAAGCCACTTTAGTGTTTCAGACAACAAATTGCTCATGGTACATTTTCTACTCCAACATATCAAATGCTATCACCAACAATTTGCTTCTTTTTATGGCATATTTTAGATTTTCTTAATGTGGGTGATTTAATTTCACAAAAAAAGTACATTTAATCTTAGTGTCTATGTGTACCTTACGTATCATGTTTCTGCAGTTATGAAAATGAACAGATGCCAAGCATAAAAACTCGTATTTTCGAGTCCATGATTTATAGTGAATAACTTTCAGTTCTTTAAAGCAGTGCTGCATGGTGTTAACACTGCTACCACCCTGTTCCAACATCTCTTGCCTCCACATTGATCTCCCTATTTATTTATCTCTTTGCCCCTATATTCTATTCTCAATTAA